GAGAGAGAGAGAGAGAGAGAGAGAGAGAGAGAGAGAGAGAGAGAGAGAGAGAGAGAGATTCGGGGGATGATTGTGATCTGGATCTTGGTAACCGCTCAGGCTGAGAGATGCGTTCCTTGCGCCGTCAACGATAAACGAAATCATAAACACAGAGAGAGAGAGAGAGAGAGAGAGAGAGAGAGAGAGAGAGAGAGAGAGAGAGAGAGAGAGAGAGAGAGAGAGAGAGAGAGAATTCGGCGAATTCCTACCCCCGTAATAAAGACGTATTCGCTCACACCCACGAAGTCACGTGCTTGCGCGCAAGCACGCATGGGCGCACATATTGACATAATGCATGAGTGCATGTGCACTCAAACACTAACATACCCAGGCACAACCCCCGCGCACACATGAACACGCTCCCGCCCCCCCCAAAAGAACATGGGAATACACGCACTATCCCATACTGACGTACACAAAGAGACCTTCGCGGAGAGAGAGAGAGAGAGAGAGAGAGAGAGAGAGAGAGAGAGAGAGAGAGAGAGAGGAATAGAATCCTTCCAGAGACAGAGTTATGAATAAGATCCGCTTAGTCGCCATATGCAACATTCAACGCCTCTTCGCTCCCCTCCTATCCATCAGGGTGCCTTGGCGTTTTAAGAGCGAGGATAGGTTCACTCCCAACTTTTCCTCTCTCTCTCCTTGCCTTCCCTCCATGCCATCTCATTCCTGTTCTTGCTGTCCTTCACCTTTTCCTATTCTTCATCACCACTGTGTCTCCTTCATTCCAGTCCTAGCACAGTCTTGGTCTTATTATCCGTTCGGCGCAGAGAAACTATTCTTCCGCTATGTCCATGCAGCCCTCTCCATTCCATTCGTGTCATTCGTTTTCTCTTCTTTCTCCATCATTCTGTCTCCTCCTTCTTCTTCATTGTCATGATGCTGTCTCTTTCCTTTCCATATTTAACACACAGTCTTGTTGTGATCCTGTTGGCTCAAAAGTCCCTCCACAGAGAGAGAGAGAGAGAGAGAGAGAGAGAGAGAGAGAGAGAGAGAGAGAGAGAGAGAGAGCTTTTGTGATCTTGTTCGCGCAATAGTCCCTCCACACACACACACACACACACACA